CTTCTGTCGTTCTGCAATCTGCTGATTTAGTGTTTTTCGATGATGCTGAGCGATTTTCTAATTTAGACCATGCCCTTAAACACATTATTAAAGTTAATTACGCAAAAATAATTCACAATTAATTATCCCGGACTTTAATAATATTCCTAAATAGGCCCCTGGCCCAGGACCAAGACGACCCAAGCCATTTTTCGTTACGATGAGTAGTTTTCGTAGGAGCGATTTGGCTTGCGTTCTTTGAAACACCCGACCGGACATTGGGAGGCCGAGAGTTCAAATCCTGGTTTCGCCGTTTCTTGGCTTTCGGCGGGTTCCTGAAAACTTTGATTCTTTGATTAATTGGATTATGTACGGTTCATTCATCTGCACATATTCGTTTATATATATATATATATATATATATATATATATATATATATATATATATATATATATATATGGGTGATTTAATCTCAAATTGTGCAGGCAAAAAAGGTCGAATTTTTAATTCCGCTGAAAAAAATATTTGTAATGGCGTCGCCTCTAGAAACGCAGTCGCCGCAAACCGCAAGCTCGTCGGATTTTTTGTTCTCGACTTACAAATTTTAAAAGAGGCCGCGGCGGAAAGCAGTGTTTTTCAAAGCCGTCGTGGGTTGGATGTTTCGCTCAATCTCCCGCCATGAATTTTCATTTCACATTATATTAACTTTTTTCAAGCACTCTTTAAGCACAGGTAAAAGGCTCTAATACCATGAAATAATTTTAGGCGTTTTGCTTTTTTTCTGTAAAAATGTCAAAACGCCCCATCGCTTAATTGTTGACATTTGACAATTAAATACTGGCGATCTACATGGGTTGCATCCATATGTTTTATGCCTATGGAGAGCCCAAAACACGCTCTTTATATATATTATGAAATGACTCAGGTGTATAGAATATTCTTTACGGTACGTTTACGTTAATTTCATGCTAAACCAAAAAGTACCAAATCTGAAATAAATTTTCTCGAAGAACCCTTTTTTTTTTCCTTCAGTTTTTTAAATGTAGATATGATAGTTGACTACTCGAAAAGCAAGTCGAGAAAGTGTGTCTTTTGTTTTGTATGTTCTATATTTAAGCATCAATATCGTACAAAAACGTGTTTTTACGGCTCTAAACAGACTTGCGAATTGCGCGTCTTCACAAACTTGGAAATATTTCTGCCTTTTTTCAACGTTCCCACATAAAAATGAAATACAGTAGTTCCGCCCTGTCATATTAATTCATCATTTAAATTTTATTAAAGGCAGCAAGCTACATTGGAGGAGTTCAAACGAGAAAGCAACACTTCTTAACAGACAAGCAGGCGTCGTAAATTTTTAATGTGTAGAAATTGGCAGACGTCGTATAGATTCGGGGCCCTCATTGGCCTGCATGAACGTCCCGCCCTTTCGGAACCAGCAGATTACCACGACCTTTCGCGCTCGTTGTGTTAGATAGGACGGCCCGTGACAGTAAAGCGAGCAGCGCATCCTGTGTCACGAGGAGTGAAATGGTACTAATGTGTCGTTGACGCGGCGAACAGTGACGGCCACCCAGGAGTCAGTCAGTCAGAGTATTGCACAAGGGAAAGCAAAAGAACTGTTGGCTGGGAGGATGAGGACACCACGGCCTTACAGTATCGACGGTCAACAAAAGTTCTGCCGGCCAAAACAACGCCGCGTGCGCGCTAAAACCGGCGGCGCGGGACAACAATCCCGCAGACGCACACACGAAGATGGGCCGGTTCCGTTAGGGATGTGGGGAAATTTTGAAACCAGCCATCCGTGCACGCGTAAAGGGGTGTCCAAGCAGGACACTACAAAACGCACGACTCCGACAAATCGTGAAAATTGAAGCGGGAGCGTCCACTTCAATTTTCACGATTTGTCGGAGTCGTGCGTTTTGTACTGTCCCTGTTTGGACACCCCTTAAAACGACACCGCGTATTTGCCCAAGCTTCGAGCGCCCTACCCTTGAAATGGCCGTGCTTTATCTCTCTCCGCAGGGATCCGATAGCACCGAAGGGTTATCTCTTTTGGAAACAGCAAAGCCCGGAGACTATAGTTGAGCCGAAGTCAGCCTCCCTGTCAACTGTAACCGATTGTGAAGAGTGGTCTTCGTCTGAGATGAAAAGTTAACGCCGGCTGACGCGTTCTTTTGAAAAAGGGAAGGAGAAAGAGAAAGTTGGGGAGTAACCACAGTAACTACCTCGAAAGCTCCTCTCCCGACATGAAGCTCGAGGCATTTTACGTCTCGGTTACCTTCTCGCGCCCCCCCCCCCCCCCCCCCCCCCCATCGCTGTTCAAATCTTTTCTTCACTCTGTTCCGCACAGCCACGACACGCTGCTCAAATCTATTCTTCACTCTGTTCTCCACAGCCACTGTTCCGCACAGCCGTCGTGGCTGTGTGGAACAGAGTGAGGAATAGTTTTGAGCATCATCTGGACGCCGTCATCCTGCCAGGCTTCAGTGTCGTGGGACTGGACTCGGCGTCGTTCAGATGAGACTTTTTTTTATTTGGTGTGTGTTTCTACGCCCCGCTGAACGTTGTTTCTCGGGCGCGGTCCTGCTGAACTTTTTTTTTATGTTTTTTTTAAATATTTGTTTGTTAGCATTGTTTACTTGTTGGGGTTATTTCGTCAAGGCGTAGCGGCCGGACGGTGCTGTAGGGAGCGTGTTCGCGCGCATTTGGTTGTGTCCCGTTTAGGGAATGCCCGTAGGAGCTGGTTTTTGTTCTTGCCGTGTGCGGCTGAGTTTTTGCGTCTCGATTATTTTTTTTTTTTTTTTTCCTTTACGTGTCGTCGGCTTTTTTGTTTGACTCTCCACCAGGTGTGGACCTATCGCCATGCCACCGCTCGAACCTAAATCTTTTACTTTTTTAGCGTAATTTTTGTTAAGATTAGAGTTGGGTAATTTTATTCTTATTTATTTATTTTTATTTTCTACCCCTCTCCATCACAATCTCTCCGTGTGTTTCGGACCGTTTCCGTGTCTTCACTTTTGTGTATTACGGAAGTGAAAGGCCATTTCCTAGTGATCTGTGCGATATGCGGTGAACGAACCCTAGCGTATTGCTTCGGAAAAAATTGTATATAATATATCAATGATGTGGTGACTTTCTATGTCTGAGTAATATGACAGCTAATAGCTAGTCATGTTAGTTTACAGTAAAAGGTTTATAAATCGAAGCAATACAACGTCTGTGCCCACTAGGCCTGCTGATTTGATTAGATATGTTTCTCGTGGTTTCCCGCTCTTATTAAAACATAAATAACTATTTAGTACCACGAATTGCATTTATAATTGATTACAAAACGCAGACAAAAATTCAAGAACGCTTTTTTCACAATTAATAGAAACGCACGGGTCGCTATGTCTGACTTAGGTCTTACAAAACGAGGTCGTCTTTTTTCGGATATTGAGGCTTAAATATATAACATACAAACAAAATACACACTTTCTCGACTTATTGTTTGGGTAGACAACCGTCATGTCTACATTTTAGATAAAAAATTTTTTTTTAGAAAATAGATTTTAAACATTACACTTTTTGGGTTTAGCATGAAACTAAAGTAAAGGTACCGCAAAGGATATTTTATACACCTGAGTAATTTTATAATATCTATAAAGAGCGTGTTTTGGGCTCTCCGTAGACATAAAAAATATTGATGTAACCGAAGTATATCGCCAGTATTTAATTGTCAAAGTTTGTCAACAATTAACCGAGGGGGCGTTTTCGCGATAGAGAGAGAGAGGGAGGAGGGGGGCTTGAGGCACGGGTGATTGGCCGCCAGTGTTTTACGCGCAAACGGACCCCGCCTCGGCGATCATCCCACTCTCGGAGATTTGCTTGCTGACGGCCCAACCGGCGTGCTTTTACGCGCGAAAATTGTCAAGGGTCAGATCCTTTTGGTGCTTGCCGCGGTGTTGGATTTGTTTTCGCCGCAAGAACTGTTGTTTACCACCAATATCCGCCATTCATTTTATCACCGCTGCGCTCCTCAGCGATTGTCCCCATAGATGTACATGTCTCCTCAATGTAAAACGGAGCGCCGGAGCGGCGACCTAATTGCATCGCAGCGCTATCTAGCAGCGCCGGCTGCAACTGAAAGGTGCCGTCTGCGCATGCGCTCGCGCCGTTCGCGGTGTCCTCCGTCTTTCTTGTTTGAGCCATGCATTATCGGCGTGTCGAGCTGCCAAACGCTGTTCCGATAAACACCGCTAGGTGTTCGGCTCACACGCGGAGATAACGCTGAGGGCAAGTGGCAAAGGGCCAGTGTTGTCGATGAGCACCGCCCCTTGTGCTATCAGGCGTCGATTTTAGGAAGATTGTTGCGCCGCTCGAACCACCGATAACGTGTGGGTCGGAAGAAGAAAACGGAGGCCCCAGCGGAAGGCACGTACGCATGCGCAGATGTAGCCTATCAGTTCCAGCCGGCGGTGCTAGATAGCGCGGCGATGCAGTTAGGTCGCCGCTCCGGCGCTCCGTTCTACTTTGAGGGGACCTGTTTGTCGCCGTCAACGCTGCTGTCAAAACCCCAACTTATCTCACACAGCGAGCACAAAAGAGTCACTGTCGTCTCTTGCTTGGAAAAGAGCGGGACGTTCAATTAGGCCAATCATGACCCTAATTTTGCTTCATAATTCTACTCCGTGATAAAGTTTTAATGCGCGTCCCGGGAAGGTTTCGGGAATCCCAATTTGGTTCAAAAAAAACCCATCACAGATTCCTGATAAACTAAGGAACTCTTCTTTTAATAGCAAGAAAGTCAAATTTTCGGTTCCGCTTCAGAATTGTCACCTTAACAAAAGCCATGGCAGAAGTCGCACCGTCTCCGTGGATTACAAAAATATAATTTGCCAAAATATCTACGTCAGGCAGTAGACTACACAAAATATAATAACAACGAAGCTCGTGCAATAGGGATACCCTATGATTTTGTAGCAACCGCTATATTGTTTGAACTGTGCAGCATGGATTCTCGCGGGTTTTGTTTTCGTCAAATATGAAACGAAGACTTACGCATGCATGCCTCCTTACAGTCTTTGAGCCACTTGAAATTATTTTTATTATTTGTATTCTGCCAAATGGCGACCTGAGTGGTTGTCTGACATTCGTTTGCGGTTATATTGTAATAGTAACGCCTTCTTCCAAAACCAAGTCTTCCCAGGTCTGGAGGTTGCAGGCAGCGGCTCTCCTCTTTACCTGCAAATACACGTTTTATTTACTAATATTGTAGAAATATATTTATTATATCTTCTTGATAATTCACAAGAAAGCGTTTTTAATATTTAGAAATGTCCGTTGGATTCTGGGGAACGATTTACAAAGGTTCTGTTTCGACGTCGTAAGCATTATAAGGTTGATTTGACACCGGTATAGATGACAATTGTGTGGCTCCCGAGGCTTTGTACCCGATTCGTTGTAGTATCTACAAATCGACCACAAACATGGTCTTTTTACTAAGCCTGTGGCAACAAAGTCAGGCCTAACATTATTCTTCATATTCAGGCATACGGACACAACAGTTAGTCGAGAACTTAAAAGGATACCGAACCAAAAATCCGGGTCGAAATTATTTGGTGCAATTTATAGCACATCACTAACTTATGAATAACATTTGATTAAGGACAAATGAAGTGTACGCTTAATCAAAAGAGAAAATTGATATTCTGGGGTGCAACTGGTGATTGTTTTCAGAAGCTGGTTTCGTGACGTCACGATCCTCGCCCAGCTCCCTCCTCGACGGTCGGCGGTGAACGCGGCGATGAAACAGCCGACTGAGTTTGCGTAGAAGTCGTCAGGTGTGAAACAAATTTAAAAGTTATCCCATAGCATAGCGCTGCGCAAAACGGTTCATGACAACGTAGGATACAGCAACAGGTCTGCGCGTGCGATTCCACACAATGTCGCAGTGCGGAAACTTTGAACTGAATCTAAGCAGTTCGCCCTTTACGGTTTACGGCAGGCGTTGGTCTCTGTCGAAAGCGACTGTTTTGTGCGGAAAACTATGCAGATAGGAACTATGAAATAAAACACAAGTTAACCAAAACTATTTCGGGGTTTCAACCTACCGGTAAGAAATATCAGCGTGAAACCTAGCGGTATGTCCTGGCGTTTTACACGGAAGCACAGCAAGAACAATTCAGCGGTGCCACGGAGATACACCTCCAGGTAATTGCAGCGCATCCTGTGTCACGAGGAGTGAAATGGTACTAATGTGTCATTGACGCGGCGAACAGTGACGGCCACCCAGGAGTCAGTCAGTCAGAGTATTGCACAAGGGAAAGCAAAGGAACTGTTTTCAGTTCCTTTGCTTTCCCTTGTGCAATACTCGTGCAATAGGGATACCCTGTGATTTTGTAGCAACCGCTATATTGTTTGAACTGTGCAGCATGGATTCTCGCGGGTTTTGTTCCTTTGGATCTCGCATTCCGCACCAGAGCAGGCGCGCTGCTACATGTGCGACAGTTTGAGACGCTCAAGTTTGTACTTCCCAAAACGAGTCCTACCAAGTCCCTTTGCGAAGCAGCCCCTGGGAAACGAGGGAGACCCATAGGCGTAGGTGTACCAAGCGTTCTGCATCCTTGGGTAGTTTCACGCGCCACCGCTTCATGACGGTAAAAGTGGCGCTGCGGCCGGGTTGCCGGCGCATTCCCGCTCAAAGCGACATGGCGTGTCTAGCGGCGAAGCCAAAACTACACGCGTAAGACGTGTCGTGCAAGCGCGTCCGTGCAACGCAAGCGCTGTTCGAGACGGCTGCCTCGTGCTTGCAGCTTTCGCGGTGGATTGTGCGTGAGGTGTTCTGGAACATGATTTGGAATAAACGTCATTTGTGTGTACTTGTGTTCTGCTTTTTTTTTTCTCGGGCTGCAGCTTTGTTTTCACGTACGCGCATATAGCTCATTTCCAGTCCCGTTGATACTTTTCAGATACAATCGGCGATGTTTTTTGTTTTGTTTTTTATTTTCCTTTATAAACCAGGATAAAGAAGTACACCACCTGTTTCGCGCCCCTCTGCAAGACGGGCTGGCTACAAGTCCGCAAGACAATGATCGAGAGTGTCATTTTGTTCTGTGCCCAAAGATCCTGAACCTTTTTTGGAAATCGAAGATCGCGCTTCGGTGGAACGACAAAAAACTTCTACCCAAGTCAGAAATTTCTGAACTTCACTTTGGAAAAAAATTCAGCGTCCAGAATTTCTCCCACGTCATCAATGAAGAGGTCACCCAACTCGTAAGAGGTTGTTTCTGCCTAACCAAGTATGCTATCCCCTCCATCCTGTTTGACGTCTTTGCATACCTTTATTTTTATTTTAAAATTCATATTTACTCCAAGTTTCAAACTTTAGTAGATTAACAGGAATAATTAATTGCGTCCTTGAGTAAAATACCAATTTTCTGAACTGCGAGAACGACTTTTTATAGCAGCCAAACCGCAGCGCTTTCTCGCCGCGCCTGCAACCGAGACCCTTCCGCGAACGCCATTGAGCGGCGTCATGATCGAATGCCTTGTATTCAATTTTCTGCTCGTTACATCTATTCCTATAGCCACCATACTGTTACTACTCTTTAAGCGCATCACAGGCTGCCTGAAAACTTCTGCCGACAACCGTTGTGTGGCGCGATGAACGCGAAAAACTGCAACTCCCTTGTTCACCTTTTTTTATTTTTCACTGTTGACTGTACAACAAGCCTGTCCAGAACGATGTGCGAATCAATGCGTACAAGAGTGACGTGATTGTTACGGGCATCTTATCTTCACGGCAAGACTTAGGCAAGGTCACACAGGTGGTGATGAGATGCCAGAAACGCTTCTCCGCGCCATTCTACTACGGATCCACTTCCTCAATGCGTCATTCTGGCCAGTACGTCTGGCGTTCTTTCTTCGTTCATTTAAAAAGACAAGCGACAAAAATGCGCAAAAAATGAATGATAAGTACTTCTAAGCCCGTTGTCTTTTCTTAGCTTGTTTAAATTGAAGACTGTCTTAAAACTGAAATTGTGGCTTGAACCATTCATAAACTAAAAGTTGATTGTGAGAGTTTAGTTGATTTGTCTTATTATTGTCATACTTATTCGCCAACAAATGTACTACAACTCCGATAAACATGCAGCTAAAGCTGTATCAGTTCCCATTTCTAAATTTGGTCGTGTTAAAAAAACAATCTAAAAATGCGCTAAAATATACAAGATCTTTTTTATATTTTTTAACATTAACAAATTAAGCGAAAGCGTATTCACGACTTACTTGAACATGTCTCCCAACACTTTTTGGCCGTTGGGAAGTTGGTAACATCATCTGAACATCCCATAATTTGTTCACATTTCTTACTCTTTGCATTGTACCAGTACCTAGCCTCCACAGTGTCACAATACTTTGATGTGAGAAGGGGAATATTGCACTTTTTCTGTACATACCCTTTAAAAAACAGAAACACACTTTAAAACACGCATTATTTCGTATCTAAAGGAATTGAGCCATTCAGCGCACCATTGTTTCATAGACGTGAACTCCGGAATGCATCAGAAGACATTTGTCACGTAGTAATGTCAGGTAGATAATAGAAGTACATAAACCATTCTAAAATGCGGATCTTTCAAGCCTTACATATTCCATATATAATCATGAGATACACCATACATACAGTATCCAACTGCCGTCTTATATACTCCGGTCCAACTAAAGATCTACCTGAATTTTCTTCGGAGGGTGTGCCAACGAATTTCTTAAAAGAACATTAAATATTTTAGTAAAAAAGACATATATCTAACTAAGTAGATGCATACCTGGTTAAAGTTACTGCTAGCTTCATTTCACAAAAAAAAAAAAAAAACCTGTATAATGTAAAGCAGCTGTTTTTTCTTAATCTGCACAGTTACGCCACAAAATTCAATTACTTAAAAACATAGCGCACCTCTTTGTTTTTTTTTCCCCTCCGAGCTTAAGAAATTAAATTCACACATTCGCATAATTTTTCCTCGAGTAAAACACCCAGTAAATTTAAACTATCACTATTTTTTTTGTAACGCATCTGATGGAAATGGTTAGAACGTTATACTCGAAGATGTGAAAAAAATTATTTCCAAATCTCCGCTGTCCCTCGTTGAGCCAAGCGACGGCACAAGTTTTCGCCCAAAAATTCAGCTTGCGTGATAACAAGGACCAGGACGTCAGCATGTAAAGCGGTATGCAGAGTGTTACAGCCCAGACGTCTTTTACCAGCTGACCCTCTTCTATATTTTAGAACACAACGCTTTTCGGCCTGGATATTTTCCAGGCTTCCTCCGTAGGCTGCAGTGACTGACTCAACGTGTGTTCTTCTGGCTCCGGAGGAAAAGCTGACGCACATTTCTTATTAGAGTAATGCGTGTTTTTATTAAGTTTATGAATAAACAATCTAACAATAAGCGTATCAGCGAACATCAGTGTGTTTACTTCAATGGTGTGACACCTAGTTTAAGAGGTTTAGTACAATATTAAAACCATCTTTCTGAAACTAAGCATTATCACCACACGCGAAGAGCACATTTGAGAGGTCAGATGGTATCAAGTGGATTGTGCAATACATTTGAACGGCTTTGCTCGCCGACGTATTTCCAAGTATATGCAGTCAACATATATGAATACCAATATCTCAAGTCGCGTTACCTTTAGCTGAATGGTTTCAAAGTAAGGAGGTTAGATAAGGGAGTTGGTTATACGAGAGGAGCATGGTTCTTATACCAAAGGTTTTATACAGGATTTCCGGATATTAAGCAAACTAATCTGTAACGGACTCATTGGAAAAACAAGCCTACGTGAATACAACTTCATGTCCGCGTTAAAAATACATTCAGTGAAACGGAATTTGTATTTTGAAAATAGAGCATATATTGTCTACTTTCTATGAAACAGAAAAACATAAAAATATTTCACTTACTTGCGCAACGTTCATAACAAGCCTCTAAACTGGTAAAAGGACCACATTTATTTACTGGGTTTTTTTCACATGTTTGTGTATCAACATTATACCGGTAGCCGGTTGAGCGGCCGCAATTCACTGCAGCTGATGGAGCACACTGTCCGTATTCTGGATCTTGAAGCAATTATTAAGAAACATCATTAATTGGGATCAGAGTTTAACGTGGCTTCAAAGTTCTCATCAAAATACCTTTGCGCGATATTTTCTTATGGGCGCTTTTGTATATTATTCATCGTTTCTCAAATCTCGAGTTTGTTTCGCAAACACTGGTACCGTGCGTGTTCTCTCCCAGAATGCATCGCACTCGCGGAGTGTCGCGCGGTGAACCGTGGTCGATGGAACTTGCCGAGTGCAACATGATGCTGTCGCCATCTATGTGGTAGCAAGAGTACCGACCTCAAACCGGAACTAGTTCCCTGCTGTTCGACATGACAGGCGGGTAAACGAGACAATGCGGTCACTGCAATATTTAAATTGGCGATGATAAAACAGATCGATTGGCGTAGAATTATCTACAGACGACGTATGACTCCGCCACACAGTGACAACAAAACAACTTGTAAGAAGTGACAAAATATGAGCAATCTTTCCAGTCTAATATAGCTGATTACACTAAAGGAAACACCCTTGATAGAAATCGCGTAGAAGCTTGATCAGGTCTAAGCGTGAACGACTAAAAGGTCACGGTTTCAAACTAGTCCTCTGGATCCCCCAGCAATACGTTTCAAGACACCTTCGATTTTGGTAGCCTACAGGTAAGTGGGCCTTGATTCCTATTGCAGTTAGATCTAGAGCATTCTGGAACACAAAGACGAGGGTGCAAAATAACTCGTGTAGGTAGATACTAAACATGTTGTTTTACCCCCAAGCCTTGGTAAAAATTACCATTTTTATCTTTCTCGGCTGATTGGACGCATCCTCGTTCTGTCGGGCGACCTTTATCGAGAATTATTGTCCACTCGTGAGTCCACAATAGGCCACACTTGTGCAATAAAGTTTCATTCGTAAAGGCATGAGAAATTAGCGGACGCTGCTGCATGCGTTTGTCCCGGACCTTTCTTTACTCGTCGGTAGATGTCAGTGACTCTACGTCAACAAAAGGGCTCAAAACTTGCAAAAGTATTGGTTGTCGATGACGTCCTTTATAAAATAAGAGTATCACAATTCAAGCTCACGTTTGATTCCGTTTCCGCGATTTCTAACAGGAAATCCACTTTTTTCCTTCTTTTTTTTTTTTCGTTCCGCTTTGTGCGATTGTCAGCTCGTAGCAGACGAACGCCCGTCGTCTGCTCCCGCCAACTCTCGCACCTCGCCTGAGCGATGCTTGATGGGATGACATTCTGGTGCACGCTCGATTATCTCGGTACAGCAAGTGCATGCACGCATGGAGTGCCAGCGCCGAAATGAACTCGGAAAGTGCAGTCACTATTTAAGTGCCGACCGGAACGAAACCGCTCCACACTGGGAGTGGGCGCGCGTGGGCATGAGTGCAGTGAAACAAACTCGCTTTTAGTGAACAGGGTATGTTCTTAGAAACACATAGACCCTAAAAGCGGTCAAACTATTCCACGTTCGTTTGTCAACATTTCAAGCTACTTTTTTCTCGCCGCTTTGCTGCAAAAATTTCCATTGTTGTAAACTCTAGCAAATCTTCATCGTCTGCACTAACGCACAACACTTCGGAGCGCTAATCGCTGCAATCTACGGAGGGCGCTCGGCGAATGACGGGGCTAATATTATGTTTCGACTCCAAAAAAACGTTTTTCGCTGTGGCAACCAGCACGGTAAAACGTCATACTCAACGCACTAATGCAGACAGCTGTTTCTAGGTCAAAACATACCCAGCCCCATCATTCTCCGAGCACCCTCCGTAAATCGCAGCGATTAGCTCTCCCAAGTTTTGTCTTTGGTGCACATCATCAAGATCTCTTAGAGTTTAAGTAGCTTCACAATACAACTGCTTAGTATGCCCGGTTGCTTTCTTTATATTCATAGCGGTTTTTAATTTTTTATGCATTCAACATTTCAAGTAAATGAAAGCTGAACTAAGCCAATGCTTTTTGCGAGAGATAATGCCGTTCCTTATCGTAACGATTGATATAAGCCTTTCTGTCGAGTGAACTCCATCGGAAGCGCTGCGCCAGTTAAGGGGATGCTGAACCAAACCATTTCAGTGTCCATGATAAGTGGCGCACGGTATTTTCACGAGCCAGCAGTCGCCGATGTGCCCGAGCACACGTAACGAAATTGACGGCATTCACGCTTAAGATGACAGTTAAATGAAATAAAATAAAGACGCTTTCCATCTCCACAGTGGGGTCTGGTGTAAAAGGTAAGCGATTTGTTGGTCTAACACGCAAGTAGTTTCAATTGTAAAGGTGAAACGCCTGTTTTTATTCTCCTTTAGCCCGAGGCCCATACCTATTACTGTTCTCTCAAGCGCGAATGGGGGACTATAATGTCAATTTCGCTGCGTGCTCTCGCACCACGCCGGCCACTGCTGGCTCCTGGAAAGATCGCGCGCCACTTATTATAGACACTAAATCGTTTGATTCAGTATCCATTTAGGATAAATATTTTTAAACGTTGCTTATTAACTCTTTAATTGTTATAGTCAGACTTCGAAAGTAATTTTGTAATTGCCACGTTACTTCTTTTGAAAGAGATTTGTAATGTAATTTCGTTACAAAACATTGGTAATGGATTACTTTAATTACTAGTTACTCTTTAAAACTATGAGCGTAATACAGTAACTGGAGCAATACGAGCAGAACATTCAGCAGCATAAAGAGAGTAAGTTCAACAAATTAGAAAACACCATGAAGGGGAAAACAGCCGAAAAGAAAACACGATTTTTTGTATGAACGGTCACTAGAACGACTAGAAAAACGAGCAAGACATGTACAAATTATACGAAAGACAAAGATCAAGTAAGACAATGCCGAGTAGGCTCCCCGTCGCCTGGCATCGTGTTTTTCTTCTTCTCCCGGGCAGGAGAAAGCTCTTTGTGTTTATTATTTTTTTTTTTACACCTTTCCAACTTTGACGATCCCCGCCACCTGCACATATATCAAACGCGAGTCGATATTCCCCGATTCGCGGGTTCAGAATTCACGTAACAGACGATGTAGCCTCGCGCGAGGGGGTCGAATTCCCTTTGTCGTTGATATGCGCTACGGTATTCTAGCACACCCTAGAGGCACGGCTGAAGAGCTCCAGGTGCAAGGCTAAGAGCATTGTCTTCGAAGGTACGGACGATACTTCTTTTGGTTTCCTTGTCTGGGCATGGTGGTCGAGCCCACCTACTCACTTTACAGTGGAAGGGGGGGGGGGGGGGGGTTAGACCATCTAAGGAGTGCTGACAGAGAGAGAAAAAGAGAACGTGTAAAAGTGGTGTGATCCTCTGTTGTTTTGTGGGACTGATGGCCACTGCTTCCCTCCCTCTCTATTCCCTTCCCTCCCCTGGCCTCCACAAATATTGGTATGAAAGTGAGAACCAATGATCGATCGATAACACGTAAACGCCACTTTTTCTCTGATTGCTCGAGTTTTCGGTCATCAATTGACCGTCGTCTCCATGGGCATCTCATAATGAGACGCTTAAAATTCAGGGTATTAAATATAACGAAAACCTAGAGTTTCAGTGCATACTTCGTTTGCCAAAAAAAAACACACATCGTCATCAGCAAGAACAACAAACTCTAATATACGGAAACACATCAAGGTAAGCTGGGACACCTGTATTCTGCATTGGCTATACATATTAACGTTATAGCCAAGTTTTTCTTTTCTCGTGAATAACAGGCGAAGCACCCGAGTCAAAAGGGAGCTTTCGTAGGTCGCTTCATTAGCTCCGAATCTCGTAGCGGAGGTAGAAGCTGCTACTGGGCATGCGCACCGCTAGCTTTGTCTGCACAATTCCTGGGATTATTTCTGGAGGCCGTAAGCTATAGCGGTATGGCGGGTGGGGTTGCAGCTTTCGGTGCCTTGTCAGCTTACAGGCGAACGGAGTGCACCTACACTCTTTCACTTAAATACAATATTTTATTTTTACAAGGACTACCAGAATACGGGCGTATGAAAAATGAAATGTTGTGTTGCTGAACATTTTTGACAAATATCAAAATTGTTTCTATTGTTTGCTGGATAAGTGTACAGAAAAAGTAACGTGAAGGTAATTTGTAACGTAACGAGTAAAGTAATACGATACTTTTCAGCAAAAGTAATTTGTAACGGTAATTCATTACATTTGAGGCCTGGTAATTTGTAGTTGTAATCCATTTCATTTTTTCATGTAACGAGCACAAGTCTGGTTATAGTCACCGACAGCCTAAGAGACTTAGGGCGTGGCCTATCGTGTTCACGCTTCTTGCCTGAACGACGTATGCCTTTGTGATTGGCTCTTCTGCGTTCCTATCAGCTACCACCGCAATCTCATTGAATGTGCGGCGATAATGAGATGACCGGGACTCGCCACGCAAAGCGTTCCTGCGCTATCACTGACTATAGATCTTCCCAATATTCGCCTTCTGGGCGCCGCTATCGTTGTCCGCTGGGATGTGGAAGGCGTTCCGAGCGCGCAAAGTTGCTCTCTTCCACAAAATATGAGATGCCGCACAATGACACCCATAGTCCGGTCACTCAGCATTCTACGCCTTGGTAACAGGAGCTGGAAAGGTCTATAGTTTGATCTTTATCATGCCCCAATGGTTCCGTTGAATTCAGTCGCAGCCGATAGGGTTAGCATGCAGGATTTTTAAAAATTTAAACCTCACCCTTTTAGCTTATAAGCTCTAATATACACCTCTAATATACATAAGGTTTTTCTCTAGGTAGAATCTATTCTACCTAGAGAAAATCCTTATGTATATTAGAGGTTTGTCTTCGACGACCGTATGCGAAACGACAGCAAAATCACCATTGAAAGTAATAGGAGAGCGTCCCAGGCTGCAAAGAGCATTGCGCCAATATTGGCGTCGGATCGGAGAAATTAGGCCAATTTCATTCTGATACTGCCGATATTGGCGCTGGATCGTGAAGATCGGACCAGTGTGATGAGGTCGATGTCGGCGGAACATCACTTGGGTCGGCCAGCGCCACGCTAATATACAGTATCTGCAGCGCCGTTTTCCGGTAATTTGTCGGCTCTGAACCGGCTATATCGGCCGGTATTAGGAATTCTCGACCGTTTCTAAAACGATACCAATTATTTGTCGGGTCTGAACCGGCTATACCGGCCGGTATTAGGAATTCTCGGCCGTTTCTAAACGATTCTGAATCGGTCAATCGCGGCTGCCGCCGCTGTTGCCAAGGGCCGCGCCGAGCAATCAGCGGCTGGAACAGCGTTTTTCCGTACAAACAAACGAAAAAAAAAACATTTTTGCAGTAAGTTTTATTGGAGATTAGTACAAAGCGGGGGAGGCGAGACGTTTTCTAAATATTTAGTTTACAAGGTTTTGCGGCACAATTAATAGTGTTTCTATACGACCATGTCTCAGCAGTGATTTCAGGTAGCGCGTCCCGACCCAGGTGCATGCTAACTTCGGCAGCAATTCGCGGCGCGTCCGCTCGGGAATTTGGGGTGGCACCCTTGAAGCCACTCCACCGTATATGTTTCGGCTCCGAAATAGCCGATTAAAGCCAAAATAGAAGTCACGTGCAGTTCGTCGAGTAGCCGGTGGGGGAGAAATGGCTGCGTTGCGATCGCTATTAGCTCGGCTTTCGAATACGAATCGGTGCCATTTTTACAGAGAAGGCTCTATGGCAGTTGCCCAAATAAGTGATTCTTTTTTTTTTGTTTAGTAACGTTGGCTTGGCACAAAGTCCGCTAACACCGCAGCGGCCGCGGCCATGTTAAGCGATATTCCCGCATATCCGCCGAGCTCTCTATCGATATTTCGCCGGTACTGACCCATTTTCAAAACGATCGTTCACCGATACTCGCCCATCTCTGCCCAGTACTCAAATAATATCGCCGATTCTGTCCCGTTTTTAGAACGATCGTTAAACGATATTCGCCCAACACTGGGCCGTGGTGCGAAACATGATATTGACCCAATATTGTGAGCAATTTTCCCCCGACGCTGGTTCAGTGTCGCCGTGCCGCCTGGTCTGTTGGCTGAGCATTTTGAAAGGTTTTTTAACGCAAGTATGGACAAATGACACACAAGAAGAAACACGACAGACATAGACGGCGTTCGTGTCTGACGTTTTTGTCTGTCGTGTTTCTCCTTGTTTGTGCTTTGTTCATACTTGCGTTCAAAAAACATTCAATATCAAAATAACTTTTTCTATATAGCTTCAATGTGTAGTTCAGATTTATCGCACATAGCGATTAATCTCTCTCTTATCGGCTGTGCCAATATATCTAAGATTGAAGCGGATTCGCTTGTCACTTAGAGTGCCAGGCTTCCATCCCTAAAATCGGTAAATTACTTCATGCCTCGCTGGCTAGTCTGCGTTTTTTTTTTTTTCATTCATATACTATACAATTACGGTTTGTTTTTATACAATAACGTATAAAATCAGCGGAGGACACTTATGACTGTTTACGTGTAGGAATGCAAAAGCATTCGTACACGCAGCACATTCCTTCAAGCAGCGCGCCCCGCTGTTCTCCGTAAAGGCCGGCGGGGCCTCTGCGGACGCGCGCGCGCCACCCTCTCTCTTTTACTAGCGCGCGGGCCGCAGCGCCATGAAGAGGGCTTCTCTATGGGGTGGCGGTCCTTGTAACAATGACGCGTCGAAGCCAATGAGAATGTATTGCTCGTTTTGCTCAGCCGAAATTGAGGTGCCGCTTTTCACGATTACACGGTCCATGAAGCAGTTAATACTTTCGCATTAAAAATTATATCAGTTCAAACAAACCACCGTTTAATATACCACAGAGCATTCTAGTCGTCATTTTGCTTGACATTCCTGGACATTTCCTTTGTAAAACCCAGGTAATGTTTACAATGAGCAATAAACAGCAAGTTCAAAGTAGACATTTTGTAAGCACCTCCGGTTTGGTTTCTTTACGGGAAGTGCAGTGGATAACATGGCTTCCGAATGTATAATATATTATTCGTTGCGCAGCATGCTCTTTTTAAACTCCAGTATGTTAAACACCGGTATCAGCATCGAAACTTTAAAATATAAACAAATTTGAACAAAAATAAAATTCGGTATTGTTCTTAAATAAACGACCTTTAAAGTTGCATAATTCGAAGAGTTAGTTTAGGATGCGGTCATACATACCTCTACATTTTTCAATACATTTCATTTTACGTTTGAAGATATTGGGTTCATGTTCACCCGCTCTAACTGTAATATCTATGCATGCTCCTTGGGTTGAATTATACGTTGTCGCTGGAAGACCCCGTGTCCTATTGATGTGTGGAGGCTCTATAAAGCACTCGAGAGGTACTGTCCCTACGAAGTAAAAATAGTAAAAAAAAAAAGATATTTGTTACAAATATTTCATTAATCTTTTTTTTTTTTGCATAACAAGTTTTCTTAAAAGCACATAGGGTAATATCACGCTCATGTTTCTGGAGTATAGATGCGATATGAGACCCTGGTAAACTAGGGGATGCTGAGTCACGTAACTCGTTTTGTGGTTTTTTGCCAGATATTGTAAGATTGTAGTTCAAACTATAGATAAACTCGTTTTCAACACGATGTGTATATATTTAAAAAAAACTCAAGTTGACCCACGTGGCAAAGTGTCAGAACGCTTACACGCTAGTTACGACAAAGCTTCCCCACAAAAAAAACATTGGAGCATTATCAGGAAGTTCGCCCAATTAAATTACAGTCTTAGGTGATGAAAATAAAGTTATTTCGAATATCAGTGGAAAACATACAACGATAACACAATTAAACTGAAGCAATCAAATTGAAGAAGTTTTAATAAGCTGGCAGGCGCATCAATTTGGAACATCCTTATGAGTATCAAGATTGGTCCTAACTGGTTTTTATATTCTTAGTGCATGCTAGCCCGAGTAAAAAATAAACGACATCTAATATTCAGCGTGAGAGGAAGAAATAGGGACTACCCGTTTAAGAGTTGCCACCACGTTCGTGTTTGTTAGGCATTTCGCCAACTTCTACATAAGAGGGGGACATCGAAGTTGAATTAGGTTCCCGAGACTTCGGTGATGTAAAAAACCTAAAGATGTTGGCAATCCCCTGTAACGCCGAATTAGAGTACAGCTCTTGAGGAGGAGAAGGGAAGGGTTCTGAGCGGAGAAGGTGGAAAGTCCCCCGCTACTAACATGGGTGTGGATCGACGTGTGCCTAACGCAAGTCGCAGAAAATGCACATCTTTGGTGACAGCATCGCGTGTAAATTTGACAAGAATTTAGCGGGGCAATTTTTTCCCCTAACTTTGCGGGCAATCTTTTTCCACAAGATTTAGCGGGCAAATCTTTTCCGTTAAGTTTAGCGGGGAAATTTTTTCCACTAGATTTAGCGGAGAAAGGTTTTCCGTTAGATTTAGCGGGAATTTGTTTCCACTAGATCTAGCGTGGATTTTTTCCGCTAGATCTAGCGTGGATTTTTTCCGCTAGACGTCACACGTTCAAAATGCACCGCGCGGTTACGCCGACGGCGACATCGCTTAACCCGGAAACGGGCGCCTGAGAGCTGAGCACTAAAAGACAAAATCCTAAAATGACTACGGGTAAATCATTTATGGTATTTTAAATTTGTGCATTATCTTTTAATCTTTATAGTCAGACCTCCGATATACCCAACTATTGCATCATTACTGTAGATCTTGGTGCAAAGTTGACGTATTTTATATGCTACTTATTCTGTTGATTTGCATCAGATCAATTTTAGTCTGATCAGACCCCGATTAGATTGCGATAAAATTGAATAGTATAAAAACATTAAAAAATTAACTGTGCATGAAATGTACTTAAAATAACAGTCTAAAAGCCTCCAAAAGATTCCGAAAACGGCGTGAGGGATACTTTAGAGTAGCAATAAAAATCTGCAATAATAGGGTATAGTTAAAAACCGAAATTTCGACAAGTCTAGACCAATTTTGGGTTTTATGTGATAAAAAAGGAACCGTCTTGTTTAAAAAAAGCAAGCATCTTAAAAATAAGCTATTTATCTCATAAGCAACAAATTTGAAATACATATTTTCAAGCTTAAGCATGTGAATAGCATCTTTAATGAAAATAAGCTTGCTGAACGTACAACCCTGTACAGCAGCAGTTAAAAAAACCTCGAACAACCAAATTAGAGAGTGGAGCTACTTGTTTGCCAGTCAACTAATTCTAGAAAAAAAAACTACCAAACTTTTTTTTTTTAATATTAAGCCTCCTCTTCTGGTAACATTGAGTAATCCAACATGAGTCTTGTCGCGCGAAGTGGGCTGCTTCCACGGTTTTACACCCGACAGAATTTTTCTGCTACTAGTTATCCTTGTTCCAGCCCTTTATTCATAAGATACGTTTTATAAGTCTTATCTGCCTATATCATTCTCAATACACAGCTTTTTGCGTGGTACATAAAGTAGAAATAAAAACTAAATATATTTTAAAACTCAGCAATGTGTTTGGTTTATATTTATTCTTTGTTCACAGTTACCTTCTGTTCCTAACTGCAACTTTAACTTTTTGCGATAAACTAATATCCAAAATCTGGAATATTTTGAGCTAGATCATAATATTCTTACTTATAATATATTACAGTTTGATAAACGAAGTTTTTTGACGAGTAAAACAAATTGTAGGACGTTTTTAAAGACGCTCCCAGTCATTACCAATAAAGGCCACACCGCCGCTGTGCATTCCCTCCGTAGTCAGTAGGCAAAGGAGAGCGAAAACTAAGTCGTAACTGTGCACGTTAGGTGACGGTCGATTCAGCTTAAGCGAAAATACGGTTTCTTCAACAACTACCGACACAAAAATAGATGGAGTAATATTTACTCAGAGAACTGATCGTGGAAAAAAAAAACATTTCTCAGTGTTCGTTGAGCTAAAGTCATGCAATACGAATGGCATCACTTACCCCTGCATATTCTCCGGCATTCTGTTACAGTTTGAAACTTGTTTTTCTTATGATCAAAATATGGATCAGGAAAGTGGAAAACACGACACTGGTCTCTGCTCTGGTCGTAAAACCATCCTTGTGTAAGCGCCCAGCCTCTGGAAGTATCTGGTGGGCCATAGCATCTGCTTTCTACTGCCATCGACGAGGCATCCTCTCCACTGTCTTGATAAGTTCCCTCGTCACAGTAGCATACTCCTAGAAACAAGATGTTGATATTGATAAAAAGAGAATCAAACTTACTTTTTTTTTAATTCTGAAGTGAACGCTTAAACGCACTATGCTTGAGCATCGTCACCAGCGTGGGTCAAGCAGTTTTTTTATTTAAGTTTATTGATCCATTTTTTCTTAGTCATGAACATTTGTTTCAGACATTTTCTTAGTTTGGAGAGTTGTCATGGGTACAATAATTCTTAGTACTATGTTTTGTGGGTTTTATTTTGTGTGACACCTTTGCCCCTCTAATAAATGCCCGTCACGAACATTTCAGGTGCAACGAAACAAAATTTAATTGGAATGATTGATTTATTTGTTTCTTTCTTTTTTTTGTGCTCATCAGCAGCTGACGCACAGCATGAGCTGTTTATGTTACAATTGAAAACGAGCGTGTTGGTTAATAGATACAAAACTTGAAAGTATAAAACAGAGAGGACGAGGACGAGAACAGGACATCTTTCATTTAGCAACAACATAGAATGGCACAACGATAAAAAACCGCCCCCAAGGGTCTCAGCGTTCTCAAAGAGGGAAAGGAGATACTAGTTATGAAGGAAAGGGAATACACTAAAAGAAAAGTTTGAAAAGCGCATCAGTAATCAAGTTATTTTTCGATTAGTTAGAATTAACCTTGGTCATTGTCAGTGAAATGCAGAATTATTCTTGTTTGCAGTCCAAAAAGGGAATTGTACTATAAATATAAGAGTCTAAAAATCTGTAGCGTCACGACGAGGTGTCAATATTCTAGTTATCTCTGGTGCTAAGAATTCGACCTCTGTCTTTGTCAATGATAATGACGGTGCAGAAATGTTGTTGTTAACAGTCCCCATGGCAAATGACTCGATGATTTCTCTCCCAAATCTGTTGTTGTGCCCTCCCAGTATCTTAGTATTAGAAAAATGAGGAGTACAGTCATCGCATGTGCGGCTGTGAACGACAATGGGGTGATACGACTCGGTTGAAGCCTTTGATGCTTCCAAGTTATGTTCTCTGAGTCGGTGGTTGACGCATCTCCCAGTCTGTCCAATGTACTGACTGCCACAACTTAGTGGAATCGAATACACCTTCCTTTCTTCGCATTCTACGAACTTTTTTGCATGTTTTACATTGCACCCTCGGGGACTGTCGCTGCCATTAACCTTTTTGCACATCTGTTTGAGGCGCATACGACAAGAAAAAACCACACTCGTGTCGAACTTGGACGCAATAGACCTTAGACGGTGCGCGGAATTGTGCATGTAGGGAATCACAGCGAAACGACCTTTCTTTTTTAAAACAACTTGCGGAAGTTGTGGTTTGATAATGAACCTCTCAAGGGTGGAGCGAAGTAGGTCAGCAGGAAAGCCTGCTTTTTCTAACCTCTGCTGCTGCAACTTGAGGCTACTTTCGGAGAAATGCGTGCATGACTTGGAGAATGAGGACTTGAAAAGTGACCTTACTATTCCATGCTTAACGGACTTGGAGTGAGCACTGGTGAAAGGGAGGACTGGCTTCTCCGACCTCTGCTGGAAGGCCCAACAAACACCTGAGGAATGAGGATGCAATCGTAAATCCAGAAATTGTAATCCTTCCACTGAAGGATTTTCCCGGGTAAAAGTAAGCCCTGCCGCACAGTCTTTGAAAACTTCAAAGATGCGCGTCCGCTGACAGCATCTTTGAAGTTTTCAAAGACTGTGCGGCAGGGCTTACTTTTACCCGGGAAAATCCTTCAGTGGAAGGATTACAATTTCTGGATTTACGATTGCATCCTCATTCCTCAGGTGTTTGTTGGGCCTTCCAGCAGAGGTCGGAGAAGCCAGTCCTCCCTTTCACCAGTGCTCACTCCAAGTCCGTTAAGCATGGAATAGTAAGGTCACTTTTCAAGTCCTCATTCTCCAAGTCATGCACGCATTTCTCCGAAAGTAGCCTCAAGTTGCAGCAGCAGAGGTTAGAAAAAGCAGGCTTTCCTGCTGACCTACTTCGCTCCACCCTTGAGAGGTTCATTATCAAACCACAACTTCCGCAAGTTGTTTTAAAAAAGAAAGGTCGTTTCGCTGTGATTCCCTACATGCACAATTCCGCGCACCGTCTAAGGTCTATTGCGTCCAAGTTCGACACGAGTGTGGTTTTTTCTTGTCGTATGCGCCTCAAACAGATGTGCAAAAAGGTTAATGGCAGCGACAGTCCCCGAGGGTGCAATGTAAAACATGCCAAAAAGTTCGTAGAATGCGAAGAAAGGAAGGTGTATTCGATTCCACTAAGTTGTGGCAGTCAGTACATTGGACAGACTGGGAGATGCGTCAACCACCGACTCAGAGAACATAACTTGGAAGCATCAAAGGCTTCAACCGAGTCGTATCACCCCATTGTCGTTCACAGCCGCACATGCGATGACTGTACTCCTCATTTTTCTAATACTGAGATACTGGGAGGGCACAACAACAGATTTGGGAGAGAAATCATCGAGTCATTTGCCATGGGGACTGTTAACAACAACATTTCTGCACCGTCATTATCATTGACAAAGACAGAGGTCGAATTCTTAACACCAGAGATAACTAGAATATTGACACCTCGTCGTGACGCTCCAGATTTTTAGACTCTTATATTTATAGTACAATTCCCTTTTTGGACTGCAAACAAGAATAATTCTGCATTATCACTGACAATGACCAAGGTTAATTCTAACTAATCGAAAAATAACTTGATTACTGATGCGCTTTTCAAACTTTTCTTTTAGTGTATTCCCTTTCCTTCATAACTAGTATCTCCTTTCCCTCTTTGAGAACGCTGAGACCCTTGGGGGCGGTTTTTTATCGTTGTGCCATTCTATGTTGTTGCTAAATGAAAGATGTCCTGTTCTCGTCCTCGTCCTCTCTGTTTTATACTTTCAAGTTTTGTATCTGTTCATGTTATATATCGTTAACATTACGACAGCGGAAATATAAAAAAAACGTCAATCTTTTGTGTCTTTATTGCTTCTCCAGTTTGTAGTCTTCAGGAAGTCTGCATTTAAACATGTTGTGTTTGCATTCTGTTGTAATATAATTCATTATTCAGAATTGCAAATATATTGATGATAATGGAGCGTGACCTGCCCCACGTGATTGGCAAATAGTGGCCATTAAAGCTGACGCGATCCCAAGAGTGAATTTAAGCTGCTAGCACTTAAGAATCGCACTTTGTTGCTTTGGAAGTGATGTCTTCACAAAACGAGTCCGGTAGGTGAATCTGCATTCGAAGGATGCCTATTTTTGTAAGCTTACATGTTAAGAGCACACTATAAATTCTAATAAAGCCATTTGCTACATGCGTACAAAATATATAGTACTACTACCCAAAGATTACTTACAAGGCAGAGTAATGCTCTTCGAGACAACATGCGCCCTGCCTGCTTCAATTACCCTGCCGAAATTTAGAATTTCAACTAAACGCAATGAATACCCATAGTGCGCAAGGTGACTTCAAAAAGCATGTACTTGATAATAAGAAATAAAGTGAATCACTCGGCTCTGGACGCATGCGCGGCGTCTCATATATCGTGGAAGACAGGTACTGCGTGCGTAGAACGAGTCCAGTAGGCAAAGATGGCAGCGCCCAGAGCGCAATTATTAGAGAGCTCTATAGACGCTTTACACACGTGCCAGATTGAGCCGCCATAGCCGCCCTTCTCTTGTCTTACCGAGATGTCGAGCCACTGAACCGGGCGTTGACGGGTCTTCACAAGGGCCTATGCCGGGCACAAGAACACAGTAGCATCTAAAATGGCAATAACCTGTCCTGCTGTGGTAATGATGAAGTGAAGCGAACGGAATAAGAGGGAACAAAAACTGAAGGTCAGTTATGGCGGCGCCCATGCACAGCTGCTGTAAAGCGTCTATACTTCGTTCACATTTAGTCCGACCCGATTGAATCAATCAGGCAGCGCGAAACGTGTATTGCCATAGCTCTCGTAGTCTCTGTGTGTTTGTTATTACCGACTGAACCAATAACGCACAGTGACCGCAGCGTGATTATGAACTTTTTTTGTGTGTGCTTGATTGATTTAGCCGGTGATGATAGCAAACGTACAAGGACGACGAGCGCCATGACGACGCATTTTTGATGCTGCTCGATTGGCTATACCTGCGAAAGAACACTTTGGCGCGGCGACACGAGGTGCGTGCTGAGGCACTTTCCCCATGTTTTTCAATGGACGGACGCGAACAAAAAGAGTTCGAAATACGAACTTAATGCAGAAAGCTGGTTTTCTCCTGCGCCTCATAATTTGACGAGCATTACACAAAAAACGAGTTTTGTTCGCCATCCAGCGCCCTTTTTATTTTTTTTTTTCTTATCTGTAACACGGGTTTAAAGTACCAAACTGCCTTTACGCTATGTTGTATATGAAGACTTGGATAAGTTACAACTACGACCCCCGGTCATTTTGTTTGATTACTCAAGCCCCAATCAGCACGCGTTGTAGCGTGTGCGGCATAAGGGCTCTAAAGCAAAAATCTAAGTCAAAAGGGAAGTAGTGCACGTGCCTTTGCACTTGCGTTAGGCAACGTCTTGTTTTGGATATATACTTCGAATATTTTGTACGCAGAAGCCGAGCTCGTGTGTGCGACGCTGTTCGCGCACACGACATCCGCGCTTTTCAACAATTTCCCTGGGCAGAAAATATACCCTTTCAAAAATTCAATGTCATCTTGAACCTCAAATAGCAATGCAAATATTGCTGTTTCTTTTTTTTTTTTTTCTTGCTAACGGCGGTTACAATCCATTCAGCAACGGCAGACGTACGAAATACACGTGGTCTTCCCTGTAAAGTTCTTCTCTGTATTCGGGTCAGTTTTGTTGGTGTCAAAAAACCTATTGTCATGAGCTCTCTGAGGTAGTCCGGGCGCGGCCGGACTGGATTCACTCGCTACTTTTTCATCCGATATTTTACGTTACATGAGAAAGCATGCGCATCTCTCTGAGTGGAGGCGCTGGCAGACTACTATTCTCGCTGTTCCACT